TTAACATTGAAAGATCGGGCGTTTTTGACATTTTCAAGAATTGCTCAGGGCAAAATTATTGAATCTTGATGAAAAAAAATACAACAACCATTTAAAAAATCCACATATTAAAAAGTAGTGTTCTCCAGCTTTAGCCCAATTACCAGAGGCAGGACACGGTCCACTGATGAAAGAGATGTCATCGATGGCGATATCTCCCGCCTCTCCTCCAACTGTAGCCTCTAAAACCACTTGGTGGACTTTCTGCAGCAGCACGGCGGTCTGCACCAGCAGCCACTCATCCCCTTGATTTCTCGATTTCTGCCACACCTACAGGAAAGACAGGACGGTGATTCACTTACAATGAGGATGTGGGGAGGTTTGTGCAACACCGCACTATGCAAACTGTGCAACTTGCACTCCATATACCATGTATTGATGTTATTTTGCAATCAGAATTTCACAATTATGTGAAAAGTATAATAACGGAGCGAATACACTGTGGAAACACCCACAAATATTTCTCAATAAGCTTCACAGCAAAATCCTAACACATTTTTCATGCAGGAACTTTGATTTAAAAAAAAACACAAATTCAGAAAAACTATTATTTTTATTTATGTTTTACCAGTGTTTTCTTCAAGGGATCAGCTGAGTGTAGAAACAGCTTCAAAGATCCCACAGTGGCTCCAAACATGTGGTACCAAAATGTGAGACAGTATCCTTTTTGTCCAGCAGGTGGCAGCAGTGCAGACTTGATCTGAGCCACATTCCCCTTCACACTTGGGGTTGAACTCTTGATGTGAAGGTATTTCCCTGATAAGGAACATACAACAAGACTTTACATTATGTGTGAATAACAAACTCAATGATGCTCTTTTGATCCTACATATAATACTGTATGCTTTCAGAAATTGCTTGTAAAAATATTTTAGAATGGCTATGACCTTTGCCGGTAGTGTGGTCTCCTGAAGGTCCTGTGTTGGGGGTTTCGGTGGGACCAGATGTGCTGAGCCAGTCAAGCTCATCCTCAGCCCCCTGCACCCAAAGACACAGACCATCTTCAAAAGAGCAGCTATATGCAGAAAGAGCTGGGGGGGGGGGAGAAAGAAAGAGAGAAACACGATTTCAAAATTAGCCAGCCTTCATCACCATTACTTGTCCATTTAAACACAGTAGAGCTACATATTCTAAATGAACTCACATGTTTAAACCATATTTACCTGGTGGTTGGTAGGATTCTTCACAGTTTAAAAAGGAGATATCATCCACAGCAAAAATACAACCTCCAGTGGCTGTGGCCTCCTGAGTGACTTTATTCATACCACTAAAAAAAACCTGAAAGTACAAACGATACAACTAAAACAAAGATGAAATTTGTGGGCGTAACTGTAAAATACACAACTTTTTTTGTTTACTAAATTGATAGTTGTTTGTCGGCCTGTTTGTTGTGGCCTCATATTCCAGGTCCTGACAGATGCGATATGACAAATAAAATCTCCTTAAATAAGATTTTCATCTGGGAAGAAACCTGGTGACAGAATTTGTTATTTGTTTGTCCACTCGTTTATTCGGGTTAATTAAACTGCACATTTCTGTGTCCCCTGCAGAAAGATTCAAAGACAACATGAGCATACACCTTATAAGGCTGCTGCTGCAGGCCGAGAAGCAGAGTCTCTGCAGTCCAATGGGAGACGGTGTTGTGACTACTTGACCACAGGATTGCTTCACTCCCCTCAGCTTGCTGCATAAGCACTCTGAGTGACCCAGCACTCACAGCACTGATGTGGAAGTGAAACCTGGGATGAGGAAAGAAGGAAGGAAGGAGGGGAGAGTGTTGGAATGGGAAGACAGTTGAGTGGTAGAAAGATGGGGGAGGTGTGGAGCATTGAGCAATTCATATGACTTTGAATCAAAAACAAATGTGACGATCAACGCTGTGGTTGTCACTCACAGAATCTGGCAGTAGGGGGATGAAAGGGGGAGTGAGGGACTCTGAAGCCGGGACTCGCTCTGTGTGGACCCATGACTGAAATTCACTCTCATGTAGAAGCCTGAGAACAAGGGACAACATTCTGTATCAAAATTTACTAACATGTTGATTCAATTAGGATCAGTTCAGAGCTTCGGCATGTTATTGATTGATTTCTCTTCCTGTGGATCCATGAAATCAACCAATGACTCAGTAACTTATCCACTAGAGTCACCTGTGTCTGTGGTATGATCAGTGGGCGGCTCGGTGTAGTTGCTGGCTTTCTGTCTCTGCCACTGACTCTGTCCATCACTAGAGTCAGTCCATTTGCATTGATCTCTCTCAAATGAGCATGGACCTGCATCACCATTAAAAAAGCATGAGTAACACTGCTGGGAAAAGAGGGGTGGAGAACAGTGGTTCATGATTCACAGTTTTTTTAACATTATTTGCTTTCTGAGAACTTTTTTTTTTTGTCAAACAACAAAGGCCATGTATCCCGTAAACGATGAGAACTTGGTCCTGCAGGTTGACGTCTCAATGGTTGGTGTTGACGCATCTCTTTCAGGAATCATATTTCAACACAATGTTTTCTTTTACAAGAAATCTTTGTCTGAATAAGCAGGAACTTATGAGTTATGGACTGTGATGTTTGAGCACCAAGATCCCAAGTGATTGTTGTGCCACATTTGAAGAATTTCCCTCTAATCCCTCAGCCGTCTCTCTTGGAGGCTTTTAACACGGAGATTTGGCTAATCATGGCTGCTTTTACAACTTACTTGCACCAATTTTGGGAAACTCGTGCATATTTAATCTCACCTCTGTCATAGTGGCTAAAGTCCATCATGTTATTTATTGTGTCCAATTTTTTTTTAGCTTATGATCAAATAATTAAACATTTAAAGTTAAGAAAAAGAATATGTTTTTTAGTTTTTTTAAAATCGCGTTCGCAATGTGTTCTATGAGATGATTGATGTCAAGTAGTTTTATTCTTTAACAACCAGTGACTGCATGAGTTAACTTCTTCACATCTATCTAGATCTTATTTTTACCCCAAAACATTTGTCTTTTTCCCTTGAAAAGAATGAGAAAGTTACCACACTGCTCTATTTGTCATCTAGTAGCAGATAAATGACCACTCGTCAAATTTACTGCAGGTCTGTTAAAGGACTGTTAAAGATCCATGCAAAATGCAGCTCTCACCGCAGCCGTCCTCGTCCTCCCCCTGAGGACAGTCTAGATGATAATCACACAGTAAGGTAGTCGGAATACAAACTTTTTCAGCGGACCTCCAACAGAAAAATGTATTATCCTGCAGCATCAAAGACAGGAAACACAAATCATGACGTATTTTCATTTAATGTTAAAGGACTTGTTGTTTGGAATATTTTAAAGCTTCAGAGAATTGACTGCAGATGTGTCAAGTTGTTTACCTGACAGGGATTGATTGGTGCGGTTGAGGTTGTCTTAAAGGTTGTAGATGGGGTAGAGGTGGGTGACGTGTCAGGGAGCTTGTTGTTATCAGGGTCAAATTTACACTCTTTGGAAAAAGATAAGTCATCCAGTGCAACCTGCCCTCTGCTGCCATTACCATGCTCATATCTGAAGACAATCTGAGATATAAAACAAATATTCTGAACTTCTTTCTATTACTATGAAACGTCAATGATAAAAAAACATCATTAGCAAAGAGCCATGGTACAGTCAAGGCCAAATATTGCGCAGTTAACTATCAGAACAGTGCCTTAATCCACAGATACTTTGACTTTATCTGAAGGCCGGCAACAGATTATTCTACACATTTAAAACGATTTAACACAAATTGCTGTAACTTTTATTTCTTGCTCATGGGACAGGATCAACAATCTGTGAACATCGTTAGAAATGAGGCTTCGGTTGCCTTAAGCATTCAGCTGTCAATCTAATTGTGTCCTCACTGACCTTGCTGCTGGCTGATGAGGAGAACGTGACCTCTGCTCTCTGCCAGCTGTAGCTCTGTGAGTTTTCCCTGAGCCATAACAGTCTGTCGTCACTACCGGACCCTCGTGTCCTGGACTGGGCTGTCAATGTGGCTGTAGAATCGTCCAGGCTGAAGTAGAAGAACCTCATCTGCAAAGGAAAAGGTAAGTATTGCAACAAACAGTGAGAAGAACATAGAAAAGAGGGTAATAGTGTTGGTTTGAAATAGCTCTGTTGAATGTGATGAACCAGCAGGAGTGGTTAATGATTTACTGTACCACTACACAGAAGAGATAAGTATGGAATAGATAATAAAAGCTGGTAAAATATTCACACATAAGCAGCAAAGTGTTGCTGTAATAGCATCAGATGCTTTCAAAAGTTATTTGAGCTGTGCTTGGTAAGAACAGGAGAAAATGTGTGTTGATGGACATTCAATACACACATCTAACAGCTGTTAGAGAAGCTGCTTCGGCCCAAATATGTGGGATTTACCGTTAATTCTGACCTTTTCTTAAACTTTAAAAGAGTTAAACAAGGCCTGGACATTCTCTAAAGGTTCAAAACCTGTATTTGTGTTCTTTAAATTCCACAAAAATATTTGTGACCACTTTGTATTATGCTTTAATTAATATAATATTGTCCATATTTTACCTTTCGACTTCATGATATGAATAGTTTATGAAGATGTGTTTTTTTCTGCTTTTCTGTTGTTGAATTAAAATGACTTGTCAGGACCCTTTGAAAAACAAGATGGAAGTAACCAACCCATTAGATCCACATACAGTAAACTCACAGTACAGTTCAAGATGGGTAGTAAAGTTTTAGAGAGGATCTCTGATGTCTGTCCCTTCTTGTTGAGGTAAGTCCCAGGTATAACATAGCGACCTGTATAATAACAATAGAAAAAAAGCATAAGTAGAGATTTATTGATAACAGAATGATCAAATATAGTATATTAACCGTGCAGTGAGTCTAGACCCAGTTGCCAGGAGTCTCAGGAAGTCTAATACCTGCAGCAGAGTTTTGGGTGTGATCCCTGTGAGGCCCATGATCGGGCCAGGCTTCCTGTCCTTTCCGAAGCAGCCACTCATCTCCAGGTGTGTCCACATCACTGTCTGCCCAGGAACACAAGCCCTGTTCGAAGCTGCAGCGCTCCATGAAACCTTGTTCTTCTACATCATATTTTTATCATCATATAAAGGGGGAGTGAAATGAAGACAATTACCACAAACTATAAACTGGCACTCGAGAACATTCACCAGTGAATATATAATACTGTACATACGTAGTCATATCTAAATTAAGTATGATTATGTTTTATGTAAGTACATTTTATAAGCCAAGAATGGCACAAAAAAGCTTAACAGCACATCTACGGTACAAACCGTATATAATAACTTGTACAAGCACTGTATATTAATTCACTGTAAGAGTGCACAATCTATCATTCACTATCATGATGATGTCTCACCACAGTTGCTCTCATCAGACCGGTCCCCACAGTCATCGCTGAAGTCACACACTTGGTTGTTCTCAACACACACACTGTTGTTGCAGAGAAACATACTCTCTGGACACACGGGCTGGGGCTCTAAGAAGAAGAAAAAAACATTTAATGATTGTAAAATCAGCATAAAAAAAGTGCTGGCTGTAAATAAATGCAAAAGTTGGAAGTTTACCAGGCAGGGTGCAGTTTGTGAAGTCTATGTCATCGATGGCAATATGTCCAGGCTTGTTGAAGGTTCTGGAGGCTTTAAACAGGATGGTGAAGTCCCGAGGGATTCTACCAACCGTTACCTCCCCACGCTGCCACAGATTTCCATGGCTGCCTGATATCCACCACAGCGTAGTGGACCTGGAGCCCTCCATTAGTGACACATTCAGCTCTTCTATATCTGAAACATGGTACAGAATACAAGACTGCATGCACAAATACAAAAGGTGACTCACATATGAAGAGCCATTTTTGTATGGCACATACATGTGCATATGCCAAACATACCCTCTCCATAAAGATTGTAGTAGAAGTGGAGTGTGCAGGTGGCCCCAGCCTGTGTCATGGTGGGACTCTGCAGGGCAGCAGGGCTTATCTGATCGCCTCTGTCTGAATCCACTGCCATGTACCAACCTGGAAGAGTCAGATAAGAACACGGGAGAACAGTTTTTTCTTTCAATCTGCAGTCAACAGAATACTGCAGAAAATACAGAGCAGGAGCAGATTTATCAAGTTGACGTGGGGTGGGAAGTTGTGAAAAGAGGTTGTAGCAGGGTGATGGGAGGATGGGGATGATAAAGGATGAAAATATTCAATGCAGACGATGATAAGATGTTTCTTGTTGCTGTTTTTCTTTCTATGCATTTATGAATTAATTCACTATATCGCTGGACACTGATGTGGTTAATGTGGGAAGACACCATTTTTAGCATCCAGCTCATTTGAATTGGGACTAGTGAATACACTACGTCAAAAATATATCATATTTTAGGTGAAACCAAATGATTCAACAGTTGGTAATTGGACTGTAAGACACATAAACCGAAGTTAGAGTAAAACTAATTTAAGACGGGTTAGAGTGCGATCCTACCCAGTTCAGTGCCCAGTGTGTTGTCCACAGCGGGTCCAATGTTCCCTGTAGCATTCCTTCCTCTCACCCACTGAAACTGGCCAATGCTGGTATCCACCCAATCGCATGTGCCATTTTCAAATGAGCAACCCACAAATCCCAAACTTGTTTCATTCACTGCATTAAAAAAAAGTTATTATCAACAAATCAAATATCATTAAACATATTTCAGTAAATAATAACTACAATCATTTATATATAATATATACAATTTGTTTAACAGAATCAGTACCTTCACAATGCCCTGATGTGAAAGTGATGTCGTCAATGGCAATGAATCCTCTATTGTTAGCCTCTGCTTCAATCCACAGCTGAGTGTGAAGTTGTTGAGGGAGTCGGTGAATAACATTGATAAAATAACAGTTTCATTTATTATGTTACTATTGTATGTGTGAGTACCTGGAAAGGTTTGGTCTTCTCTACAGATTGGGAAAACCTGCTCCATCTGCTGCCACTGCTGTTACTCTGGAACATCACATCCTCCTCTGATGACCCAGATCGTTTGTACACCCGCAGTGTCCCAGAGTCACTGACAAACAGAACAATGTTGTTTTTTATTTCATGTGTGAAAGATGCTTTTGTTTAACTCAAATAAAGCCATTGTTCACTTCACAGAACTGAACAAACAAAATGATTTTTGCCCCTGATTCTTGGAGAAGTTAAACTTCTATTAATACTGCAAAAGCACTATCCTGAACATTTGCCTTTAATTTTTCTTACCTAAAAACTAATTGGATGAACTACTCTTTTGCTTGTTTTCTGTTAACCATTGCAGGTTTGTTTCTTTACACAGACATTTGGTGTTGTTGGGCTGAAACAGATATATTCAATATTAAGTCTTGTCTTAAGACTGAACTCTGCCACAGAATATTAGTACTCTTGCACAAAGTGGAGCAGATGATTCATGTCTAAATGACATTTGTCCACACTTCCTCAGGAAGTCAATGAGGAAACTAAACAGAGTAAACAGGATGAGGTGCATCCTCTGCATTGTCAGATTCTGTAGGATGTGAGTATGGTGGTGATCTTGGATGGACTTTTTGATTACCTGTTTTCCATATAATACCATAAGGTGAGACAGGAGGTTGTGTCTTTCAGTTGGATCCATTCTGACGCTACCTGTGCACGACTGCTGTGGTTTAGGTGAAGTGATGAGCTCAACAAAAACCAACCTACGTATAAAAGAAAACAAACACACCTTTTTGCAGTAGTTGATTATTGTATTTTAATCGGTCTATAGGTTAAATATTTGACGTTGGATTAAGTCATGTCTTATTTTCAGTACAAACTATCAACGTCTCTTCTGTTTAAACTACTGAAACTGAAGTTTTTGAAAATAGGTTAAAACAAGTTTCAAGTTTCTTTTCGAGAAAACACGTAACAAAACTTTACTTGGAAAAAGTAGGACATGATTTAAATAAAAGGAAACAAGTCAGCGATAAAAAAAGAAGTTAATGAGTAACAGACTGTGACAATTGAACAGTGGCAACAGCTGATTTTGATCATTGCAAGACTCGAAGTTGCACTTAAATAAACTTACACATGTATGCTCACAATGAATGAAACATGACCACATCACCTGCTAGATTTGAAATAAAAGCACATTTGTTCTCACTGTGGTAGTACATGTGAGGTCATACCATCTGGGGTCTGAGTGGTGTGGTCTGTAGGTGGACCATGGAAGCCCCCTTTGGCCATCACCCAATCATGTCCATCTTCTTTGGGGATGTTGATCCAGCTGCACTGCCCGGACTCAAAGTCACAGGTGCCTGGAGGATTGCAGGCTCCATCTCTCACAGAAATGTCATCTAGTTTTGCTGCAGAGTCAGAGTCTGGCAGGCGGGCAGCCTTAAACGCCACCTGGTGAGGTACATGAACTGTTTTAGATGGAATCTTAGATGACTGACAGATAAAAACAGATTGCAGTTGGTTCATGGTTTGATTGTCAGAGAGCAAAAAGGTAACATTGTTGAATGAAGGGGAAAAACACAGCATACACGGAATCTCCCCGCGGAGGACACAGTGACTTCTGCCACCTCCCAGCCTGTAGATGGCTCTCCAGACCGTTGCCAAAGGGCATCACTCAGCTGCCCGCTCTGCAGCACATGGACAGTCAGGTCATTGGAGGAACCAGTGGGTAACCAGTACCTGAAGATAAACAGTAAATGTGCAAACATTCAAATCTGATCGTCAGATTACGTGGGATGTGCGAAATGTGTGCTGCCACAGCAAAAGACTCACCAGAAGCGCACACACATCTCTGTAGCTGAAGTGAACTCTGGTGTGAGCAGCTGAGCAACTTCAGTGTGTGTGTCATTTTTTTTCATCACAGTCACATAGAAACCTATCAAAGAGTTAACATTGTGTTGAGCTTAATGCCAATGTCATAAAGATAAACAGGCTGATATTCAGTTCATATCTTTACTGTGTTCACCATTTTAATGAGGGTGTTATATTGCTAAAATACCATATAGCACTGAACATAAAAGTCCAGCTGAGGCTGATCGGAATGTCATTAAATTTCCAGGTATATGGTCACAAAACTAAATACTGTGAAAATGAAATGCTTTATCTCATTGTGAAAAACCAGATGATCACCAAAGTCGGTAAGATTGAAACTCTGAAACACTGAGCATTGCTAAAAAGTGTCAATTATTCATTAAAAGCTTTCAGCTTATACTCTAGCTTATACATACTCTAAAAGAGAGATTCCCAACCTTTTTGCTTGTGACACTTTGAAGTGAAGCAACATCAATATATCACAAATTCATGAGTTGATAGCAGAACATTCAAAGACTAATCTCTGATTAACTGTATATTGCAACATGGCTGTTGTTATTGTGGAGTCACAGGTTACCAGGTTGGGAACCACTGCTCCAAACTTTTTATTAAAGCCTCCGTCTTGTTGTGGCGAGACTGTGATTGCTCTACTCTTTCAGTCACATATTTGCAGTGTGTTGCTTGGTGCCACAGTTTTTTTGGCTCACCATTTTCGGTTCCATAGGTGTGATCCACGTGATGTTTTGTTCCCCTTTTGCGACCCCAGTGACCTCGATGACTGACATCGTTCACAAAGCCACACATGCTGGATTCAAACCCACACATTTCTAGAATTCAAAGGAAAAGTTAAATGTTGTTAGTATGTTGTCACTTCCTGTTAACATCAGACAGTGCTGGGTCTGTGTTACACACTCTGATTAGTGCAGGCCCCCTCCCTCACTGTGACGTCGTCAACTGCGATAAATCCAAGGCTGTTTGTGTTTCTATGGCCCGTAAACACCATCTGTGGACAAGGGATGTTTTGTGACTGTGTGAATACTGTATTTATGTTAGCATCTATTTTTTATTCTAAACTAAAGGAGGCAAATAATAAAGTACATGAAATCAAATAAAATACA